CCTGAAGCTCCGGGTGGAGCACCGGCGGCGCCCCTTCCTCGATCGGCCAACACAGAATGGCCAAATCGGCCTCGCCCTCCGGACCACAGTCCTCAATCGCGATAGGACCAGCCACGGTGGTGAGGCCCTGCAGCAGCCAATCCTTATCCCTCCATTTGAAACGCATGGTCAACCTACGCCAATCACTAGTCACAGGACCCAAGCTCTGTAGCCATGGAATCCCCAAAATAATATCGAATCCCTTGATTGGCAGTATATACAGATCAGTGCATATAGGCAGACCCTGAATTTCCAAAGATATACCTCGAAGTACTCCTCCACAGCTTAGTGTAGAGCCATTCGCCACCTTCACCACCATGGAATCAGTGGCCTCGGCCACCTGTTGCAGTTGCTTGGCGAATTCCTCGCCTACAAAGTTCAAGGACGCGCCACTGTCGACCAGAGTGATGGCCAACCGATCCTCGATTCGTGCTCGGAAACGGAGAGTACCCGGGGAGGCCCAGCCCGCCATCGAGTGCAGCGAGAGGCAGGGTTGGGGCGCGCCTCGCGCGTCGGGGGTGGTCGCGGCAGTCGCCGCAGGTCGGGGCGTCGGGGGCGCGGCGGCGGCGCTCGGCGCGGAGCAGGCCGGCGACGCGGGTGGGGCGGCGGCGCGCGGCGCTGGGGAGGCCGGCGGGGGCAGGCACGCGGCGGCGGGGGTCGCCGGGTCGGTGCGCGCGGCCTCGGGTTCGGCGGGCAGCCACCTTCGCCCGATGTTGCGTGCTCGGTTTCTCAAATCTGCCCATGACAGGTCCGAGAGTTTGGAAGAACTCATCGAAGATCGGGGCTCTGATACCAGATGTAGAACACAAGAATTCCCAATTGGGATTTTAGGGATTGAGAAGAGCAGAAATTAGGGATTTGGAGAATTGGGGAAGAACAAGAGAGAGAATAGAGATTAGGGATTTGATAGTTTCTGTTTATTATTGCCTAATTCCCAAAACTAATGAAATGCGTCCTTAAGTAGTGTAAACCGAAATAACACAAAATAACAAGTTTGCCACTCCTTCCCTCCCCCTCTTTGGCCGACCGGCCCTCTCCCTCCTAACCCGGAATCGGGTTTCCTACACGAAGCAGTGATGGGAAGGTAGGTAGAGGCGGTGAGGAGGAACTGAGGAACACCCAGATATCGACATTGGTAGCAGAGGAAGGGTGTAGGTGAACCGTAGGAGGAAAGAATCGCTGACTCCGACACCTCTGTTCGTCGCGACGGATTGAAGGGGTAACCGCAAGGGTATTAGTGGGCCGTAAGAAGAATCGCCGATTGGCTGCAGGTGATTTGAATAGGGATTTGAAAGAAAGCCGATTTGTACAGATGAAGACACCAATTGAAAGAGAGTGTTGGACACAACAGAGGAATCGAACGCCTTCTCCTTCGCCGGGAACCGCTAGTTCGGAATATCGGAAGAGAACGTCATCTGGCTAGAGACAGCGCGCTGACTGTTTTCGGTGGTGACGACATTGAACGGAGCGAGCGCTGATCGGAGAACATAAAAATCACCAGGCCCGTTCAACGTCGCAATATAATCGTGAAGACAAAGAACGGGGAGAGCACTGCTCCGACTGACCACACAAAATAAGGCCAACGGATTCCGTCTGTGAAGACACTGGCCAGAGACAGAGCGCTCACTGTATTCGACGGTGAAATCAATGAAGGGAGCGAGAGCTGATCGTACCGACTGAACAAAAACCCACCAGGCCCGTTCAACGCAATATGAACCGGGGTATTTTTTCCGTGTCCCAAAATACCCCTCCGACAAACGCTCCGGAGGCAGCAATTTCAAAATGGAGCTTCAGTTTTAGGCTTCAGCGTATTATAATTAAAGTAGACTTGGGCAGGATGGTGGTGGAAGTGCAAAGAGAAAATGACTACGTCACCTTCTCTCTTTCCCTTGAGATGTGATACAATTCCACATTGAAAGAAGAAGAAGAAGTTTGAAGTGGAAAACCACTATATAAAACAAATTCAAGTCTGTGGCTAACTTGTGGGTTATGGGCATGATGCCCTGTTCACTTCCCATTTCATTTTCTGTTTTTTGGTTAAAAAATAAAAATCAGGAAACAAATGGAAATAAAACGTGTTCACTTGACCATTCCATTTTCCCTAAAAAAAACCCAATTATTACAAATGGGAAAACCATTAATAGTCGTTTTTCGAATATAATGAGACGGGTTATCCCCCCGTTTCCCAGCGGAAAACGTACTAATCCCTCAAACCGACCCGCGTTCGATTCATCACAGACGCTTTTTTTTACCCTTTTTACTTCTAGCTCCTAAGCGCTGCCGTTTTTGCCCTCCTAAGCGCTGCCGTTTTTCCCTCCAGCAACCCTAGAAGAAACTGTAAAAAAAAAACCCTAGAAGACGACTTCCTTCGGCCGCCATCATCTTCCTCTCCTCCCTCCAGCCTCGAATCCCACTTCGTTCGCCACACCTCGCCGCCATCGTCTTCCTCTCCTCCCTCCAGCCTCGAATCCCACTTCCTTCAACATCTCGCTCGCCGCCATCCGCCACACCCGCCGCCATCCGCCACACCTCGCCGCCATCATCTTCCTTCTATCTCTCGCTCTGCCGCCAACCGCCATACCCCGCCGCCGTCATCTTCCTCTCCCTCCATCGTCTTCCTCCTGCTAGCGACCCATTGTATATTCATCTCTCTAATTGAAAGGTCGTTTATCTGGTATTTGCGAATCATAACTTTTTCTACAGCTTTTGATTCTTCTTTAATCTTTATCAAATGTTACTGTTCGTGCACATCTAGTCTAGCAAGAGTAGGGAATCTGTCGTTTCGAGATTGTTGAGAACATGCTTTCAGGAATAAGGTAATGACAACCAGTTCTTCCTGTCTTTGAAATGTACTTTGAGGCAGCATTACTATATCGCAGACTTTTGTTGCAAAAGCTTGAATGTTCTTTGCTAGTGGTTACTGTAATGATACTTGCAGTGGGGTATTGAGGATGCCAGAAGCAACTAAACACTATTAGTGTATCTTGTATTCTGTTTATTTGTAGTTTAAATACTATTTAATTCAAATTAAAAATTATAATCATGTCTAGGGCTGTATGATAATCAAGAATCAGAAAACAGAATGAAGCAACTAAACAGGTTTTCATTTCAAAACTCAATTTCAGAACCCACCAAAATTCTCAGCTAAACAAAGTTTTTTCAGGTTTTGTTTTTTCAGGAAATGACAGCTTCATTTCCGTTTTAATTTTGTTTTCTGTTGTGGCAGCTAACAGAAATAGAATGGCAAGTAAACGGCCCATCAAGCTTAAGCAATATTTGTCGAGCCTGAGCTGGCAAAAGTTTTGCTTAATTTGTATTTATATTTGTCGATGATCATCATTGTTTTTCTTTACCTTGATTGCTGGCATTTATATATTTATTTTAGCCAATGTTGCATTTAATAGAGGGTTAATTAGGGGCCGATCATGTTCCTTGATGCATTAGGGATTGTCGTTGGAAGTAAGCAAGGTTAGCTTGAACTTTCTATTTAAAATGTCCGCCATGAGACCAAATATGTTAAAAATGGCTAAAAATATCACAAATAAGTTCATCTATATGTGCTTCTACTAAGGCGAAATGAAATGGCCAGTGGAGTCGGCAACCCAACAATAGATGCGTAGGAAGTTCATGTTTGACACGGGAAGTGGTGTTTCCAGTGGCGGACGGGTGAGTAACGCGTAAGAACCTGCCCTTGGGAGGGGAACAATAGCTAGAAACGACTGCTAATACCCCGTAGGTTGATGATGGCAATGTGTCGGGTTGGAGCTTTGTCAAACCCAAACCCAAATACATAGGTTTGTCCGCCAAAAAAACCCGGGGTAAAACTCGTTGGGTTTGAAAAACTCAAACCCAACGCAACTCGCTGGGTATCCGCTGGTTCATGGGTACCCGTGGGTTTTCATGGTAAAAAATTTACAATAATAAGTTTCTTTCAAAATATAAGTTTAACATCAATTTTCTCATACAAATTAATCATACAAAAAACACCAATCTAGAGCATACAAGCAAACCGCAAATGATCAATACAAATTGTTCAAAATTAAAGATAAACATCTATAAACAATAAGATTAATTGAAAGCTTCTTCCTCGTCAACTAAGTTTCTTCACTCGATCCACTTGATAATATCAACTTCATTCTAAACAATTAGAAAGAACAAATTATACATGTCTCCACAAACATAAAGAATATTAGTTGTTTAAGGAAGATATATTATTTAGAATATTAAATATACCAGGAAAGTAATTATATGTGTGTGGGCGGGTACCCATGGGGCGGGTTTACCTAAACCTAAACCCAACCCGACCCGATGAATAGTGTAGCGGGTTTAAACCCGAACCTGGCCCAAAATCCATCAACATGGGTTTTACCCGCGTTGACCGGGTTAGATCGGGTGGGTACCCGTGGGTTCTGATTTTGTTGCCATCCCTAGTTTGACAAGTCAACGGCTTTTGAAAATTTGCATACATTGTGACTTTTGTCATCTCTCCTATTTTATGCGTTACATTTATTACATTTATCACATCACAAGTATTTTACATTGTTTGATAAATTGAGGTTTTAACTTATTTACAACTTCATTATAGTTAAATATGAGGTAGTAAAAATAAAATTCTAAATAATTTGAGTAAAATTTTAAGTAATTTAGACAAAAACGAATGAAAAATAAAACAGATCAAAACAAGTCAAGTCGAAAATAATAATCAACGGATCAAGTCGAAATTGTCCGTTCTCATCTCAATAACTAATTGAAGGAATTGGAATGAGCAACGTTTCGGTCGTGGGCCGAAAGAGTGAAAAGGATTTGTTTTTCATTGATGGGCTTTTGTTACGGCGGTGGTTCAGCCCAGCCCACAAAACAAAGTCGTAGCAGCAGCATCGTCTTCTACGTATTTCTAGCTATTAGAAATACATACGAGACAGCTCAGGCCCGCATGCCAAATTGTTTATTCCCTCCTTCCTCCTCCCCTGTTTTGGAGCAAAGCATGGGGAAGAGCAAAGACAAATCTCGAGCTCATTCAGTCTCCTCCTCCTCCTCCTTCTATTCACTACTTCACGCTTCAGCCTTGGGGAATGGAGATCACAGTTCACTTTAATCCTTCCCCTTACTTTCTTTCTCTCATTATTGTTACCACTCCTCTCTTACCACTACTAATCTCCCACTAATTAATTCTCATTTGCTTCTTCTTCCCTCCTCTGTAGTTCAGCCCTCTCTGCTGCTAATTCATCTCTCTCCTCCTTCCTCTTCCTTTCTTTCTTTCTTCTCTCCTGAGCGACAGCCACCCTAAATTTACTAGCGGGTAACCAAGAGCTCTCCAAGCAAGAAGCAGAGTCTCATTTATTGCATTTCCCCCCCTTTTCTTGATTACCTCTCTGTTTCAGAGAAAACTGCCCCCAATCTCAGCTTTTTTCCTTTTATAGACAATCAATCAATCTGGTTTTGCCTATTCAACTCAACCATACCCATTTACCCACAACATGCGTTTGTCCCTCTGCATGTGTTCCTCTGTACTTTGAGCAAGAGAGAGGGGAAGAAAGATTCAAGAAAGGAGAAGGGGAAGCTTCAAGCTTTGTTTCTGGGTATTGGTTCTTTCTTGCTGTCCGGGTGTGTTTCTGTGAGAAAAGATGGGGGCGAGTGCGCAGCTGCAGCAGCAGCTCAGCCACATCCACAACCAGCACCTGCTGAAGGTGTACGAGAAGCAAATAGGGCCCAAGAGAGCATTTTTCTCTGTTCAGGCGTACAGGCATTGGCTCTCCAAGGCATTCGTGGCGTGGGTCTTGGGGACTTGCTGCATCGCTCTCTGGATTTACAATTACATGGACGAGGACAGCAAATTGAGGAGGAAAGAGTTGCTGGAGAGCATGTGCGACCAAAGGGCTAGAATGTTGCAGGATCAGTTCATCGTCAGTGTGAATCATGTCCATGCCCTTGCCATCCTTGTTTCCTCTTTCCATTACTTCAAGAACCCTTCTGCCATTGACCAGGTTTTCTTTCTTCCCTTTCGTTTTCCTTCCCTTCCTTTTAATTAAAGTGTTCTTCTTTCCTCTCCTTTCCAGTTTTCCACTTCATTTGCTTTGTTCCCCAAAATGTGAAATTGTATGTTCATTAATGCATCCGTACCAGATTTTCTGGGTTTGAAAGCAGAAAGTTGAATTGAAGAAAGGAAGAAAGAAAAGGACTTTGGTATTCTTTTTGGTGTTTTCTGCTGTATAGTGGTTGTTTGGTTCCCTAGAAAATAGGGGGTAAAAAGATATGGAGCGGATTTGGGAAATCTCCCTGTACTGATATGTTGCTTGTAAAGTCAGAAATGTCCTCCCCCATGGTCAACCATTTGGTTTTTGGACCAGCGGGAGGGACGAAGAACGGGACAAAATAATATACGTTCCCATGTCATGATGTGAACTTCGTTTGATATTTGTATTTAATTTTCCCACCAGGCAACGTTTGCTGAGTACACTGCCAGAACAGCATTTGAACGGCCATTGCTGAGTGGGGTCGCTTATGCAGAAAGGGTGCCCAATTCTGAGAGGGAAGAATTTGAGAGGAAGCATGGTTGGACCATCAAGACAATGCAAAGGGAGGCTTCCCCCATTCGTGATGAGTATGCACCAGTCATATTGTCTCAAGAAACTGTCTCTTACATTCAGTCCATCGACATGATGTCTGGGGAGGTAAAAGTCGGATTAGCATTTCGGCATTTGTGTAGGCAATGTTCCATTTCCTGCTAATTTTGTTATGGTTGGAAGTTCTTAATCCTGTGTACTTCAACGTTGTTATCCAGGAGGACAGAGATAACATACTACGAGCTCGGTCCACAGGGACAGCCGTGATTACAGGTCCTTTCAGGCTGCTTGGATCCCATCATCTCGGTGTAGTGTTGACATTCCCGGTTTACAAGTCCAAGCTCCCCCCATCATCAACAGAACAGCAGCGTATCGAAGCAACTGCAGGGTAACTGCTAATACTGTCCTTTCTATTAGAGCTGCTACTTTAGAGTTGGGTTAGTGTTATGACACATATGAATGCTTGACCTGGAAACAGATATCTTGGTGGTGCATTTGATGTGGAGTCCCTAGTGGAGAACTTGCTTGGACAACTAGCTGGGAATCAAGCGATTCTGGTGAACGTTTATGATGTGACCAACTCATCCGATCCGTTGATCATGTATGGTCATGAGGATCAGGCAGGTGACATGTCACTTGTTCTTGAGAGTAAACTTGATTTTCGGGATCCATTTAGAAGGCATAAGATGGTTTGCAGGTCAGTTGCATCATCCACATCTTTAAAGCTTTTGATGACTAATTATCATTTTGGAAGCTCCGGAGTTTCAGCTTTATGAACGGTTTTTGTGAACATTTTTTCGCAGATATCATGACGATGCGCCATGGAATTCGTCAGCAATCGTCACAACAATATTATTCAGCATGACGGGTATATTAGTTGGCTACATCTTGTACGGTGCAGGAAACCACATTGTGAGAATTGAGGATGAAAGAAATGAAATGGAGGAGCTAAAAAGCCGAGCTGAAGCTGCTGATGTTGCCAAATCACAGGTAATGTTCCTGATCGGGTCCCTTCTGATCAACCATTGTTCACTAACTATTGGTAACTTGTCCTGACCACCTTGGACTCATGAAACTTTTTGATGGCAGTTTCTGGCTACAGTATCACATGAAATCAGAACTCCAATGAATGGCGTCCTAGGTAATTAAATTAAAAGACATTCTGTTTTCTCTCTAAAGATGGAATAGGAAGCTTTGCTCTTCTCATGCGTAAAACTTAGCTCCTTTGCGAAAATCTTCTTTTCTATGGCTGCAGGAATGCTTGCCTTGCTGCTGGATACTGATCTTAGTTCGACTCAGAGAGACTATGCTCAAACAGCACAAGCTTGTGGAAAGGCACTGATAACCTTGATAAACGAGGTGCTAGACCGAGCCAAAATCGAAGCTGGAAAGTTAGACCTGGAAACTGTCCCATTCGACCTTCGATCTGTAGTAGATGATGTCCTTTCTTTATTCTCCGAGAAGTCTAGGAACAAAGGCATAGAGGTTTGTGTTTGACTTGGTATTCTTAATTAAAAAGTTTATTTATGCTTCATTTATATCAAATTCAGTATGCTAGTCCTTGCAATGTTCAATCTGGCATTGTTTTTCACTCTTTTTTCTTGGAACAGTTGGCTGTGTTTGTTTCGGATAACGTTCCAGAGTTAGTTGTTGGCGATCCTGGGAGATTCAGACAGGTCATTACAAATCTTGTTGGGAACTCTGTGAAGGTAATTAATTAATTGCTTTGATCATTCCACATTTTAACTGCTTATATGTGGCTCTGGGATGGTTTTAGTGAGAAGATCACACTATCATGAATAATCTCTCAAAGATTCTATTTAGGCTTTCATGCTTCTTATTGGATATATATTCATTGCGAAAGTTGCATTGATCTAACTTAAAATGTTCTGCACAGTTCACTGAACGAGGACATATATTCCTCAGAGTTCATTTGGAGGAGCATGCCAAGGCTGTCACAGACTCAAAAGCCAACATCAGTAGTACTTTGAATGAAGAAGAATCCGACGAAAGCATGCTATTGTCTGGCTCTCAACAATCCACAACCTTAAGTGGTTCAGAGGCTGCCGACGAGTGGGACAGTTGGGACACATTCAAGTACTTTGTCGCCGAAGAAGGGTTCACAATGAACGGTTCATCAAATGGAGGAACATCTTATGAAGAAGCAACTGGGAATGTCATTACTTTGAGAGTTTGCGTGGAAGACACCGGCATTGGAATCCCTTTGACAGCCCAGGACCGTGTTTTCATGCCATTCATGCAGGCAGACAGTTCAACGTCAAGAACCTATGGAGGAACGGGGATTGGGTTAAGTATCAGCAAGTGTTTGGTTGAACTCATGGGTGGGCAGATAAAGTTTGTCAGCCGCCCTCATGTTGGGAGTACCTTCACGTTCACAGCGGTTCTAGGGAGGTGTGAGAAAAATGCTGTCAACAAGACGGAGAAAAAACGAAATGCCGAAGACCTGCCTTCTAGCTTTAAAGGACTGAAGGTAGTGATAGTAGATGCTAAACCAGTGAGGGCTGCAGTTACCCGGTACCACCTGAAGAGGCTTGGCATTGTAGTTGAAGTTGCTAGTAGCGTCAAGGTGGCAGCTAATACGCTTGCGCCTGGGTAAGTCTTTTCTTGATATTTCTATGTAGCTTTTTTAGTATAATGGTATCAAATGCCACCATCACCAACTGATCTTCATCAAACCCCTCCCCCCTGAAGCAGGTTATATAACATTTAACATCTGTTCTGAAACATTTTGCTTGTTGATCTGCTGAAATGTAGAAAGAGCAGTCAGCCAGACATAGTTCTTGTGGAGAAAGACACATGGTTCTCTGGGGAGGAACGCTGTTCACCAGTATGGCCTGTAGATCGGGAACAGAATGGACATATTAGTACCCAAAAGTTGCCGAAGATGATCCTGATCGCTACAAATATCAGCAAATCGGAAGTGGAGAGAGCTAAAGAAGCAGGGTTTGAAGACACTGTGATCATGAAGCCCTTGAGAGCCAGCATGGTGGCTGCATGTCTTCAGCAAGTTCTTGGAACGGGAAGGAAGAAGTCACAAGGTAAAGGATCATCTAGTTATCTTCAGAGTCTACTGTGTGGCAAGAAGATTCTCGTGGTTGATGACAACAGAGTGAACCGAAGAGTTGCTGCTGGTGCATTGAAGAAGTTTGGGGCAAATGTAGAATGTGCTGATAGTGGTAAAGCTGCTCTTGAGTTGCTTCAAATACCGCATGGGTTCGATGCTTGCTTCATGGACATTCAGATGCCTGAAATGGATGGGTATATACACCTTTCACATCCCTTTCTTTTTCTAGGTTCAAATAGCATTAGCCTCTAACATATGCATTCCAGGTTTGAGGCAACACGACGGATAAGGCAGATGGAGAAGCAAGCGAACGAGCAGCTGGAAGCTGAAGGTTCGATCGCAGAAGAAGGGAAAGATGGTTGGCATTTACCGGTATTAGCCATGACGGCTGATGTGATACATGCGACGTATGACGAGTGCGTGAAAAGTGGGATGGATGGATACGTGTCGAAACCATTCGAGGAGCAGAATCTGTATCAGGCAGTTGCCAAGTTCTTCCAAGACAAGCCCATTTCTGGGTCATAATCAGTCAACCGAGAGCTGCAAAGAGGAGGAAGCGATTTTAGGTTTTGATGATTCTTTTGACGGGCAATGTCGATGCATTGCCTTGCTAACCGATTTCAGATTAGGCCTTGATATGTAGGAATACGTTGATCAATGTAGTGCAGGAAATGCTATGTCCACACCTTCTCATCTCATTTCCTCTGCTGTCATGTTTGTATAGCATCCTTGGAATGTGAAGGGGGTCTTGGAAACCCCCATCTAAAAACAAGACAAGGAAAAGTGTAAATCTTTTTGTCTCTGTTGATGTTCTTGTTAATGGGTTTTTGTTTGATACTACTTTTCATGTGCCAAATTTGTCTGTGAGGTACTTGGTTCTGGTGTTTTCTGCTTCTGCAGAATGCTAACCTGTGTTCTCTGCTTCTTCGTGTAAAACAGCAAAGACCCCATAACTCAAGAGCTCAAATGGCTACTAACCCAAACCTAATGTGTACAAAGATAACCCTAGTTGGGGACCTATGGATGTGATATTATAATCTTGACCACATGGTTCACCAAAATCAAATCAAAGGTTGATTCTTTTGAGAGATCTCGAGATAATAAGAGTATCAGTATCATATATTTGAGAGAATAAATGTGCATTTTTCAACTAGAATAATGATGGCTGTTGTTCATATTTTATATGCAATTCTTTTGGTGCTAGTGGGAGAAGCATGCATGGGAGAGGGAGAGGACTGAGGAGACTTTTGTGGTCATATGCTGTGCAACACAAAACATTACCAGAAGCCAGCTCGACCATTCTTTCTATCTTTCTTTTCTTCTTCCCTCTCTCAATAGAATAGAAATGGATGGTCCAATGATCTTCACATGTTATCATGTTACTATTTCCCCTTTTATTCTCCTTCTCCTCCTTCTTTCTAATTAATTGAGCCATGTGCATCATTTTAAGCTCAATTTGATAGATTGTCACACAATATCGATGTTTATATAAGTGCAACCCTTTTTTGAGTTTTCGATATGTAGAACATGTTACAAGAGTTTTTTTTATATTGGTTTATTGTTGACTATGACACATATATCTTTCGTTAGTCGAAATTTACATAGGCTTTACATCTTTGTGTATGTTAACCATCATATTGAGGTCACAAAGTTTCGAACATAAAGCTTGTTGATTAAATATATAGAGTTAGGAAACAATTAATCTGAACAAACTCTAGAGAGAAACCCAATAATAAGTTTTTTTTGTGTGGATATGGGTGATATAGGTTTACTTTTTTATAGTTAAAGTACTACTTAAAACTTAAAAATTCGAACTTGACACATCCAGATTCTAAACTAGTGGCATTATCACTAGAAACTAAAATTACAATTACGATTTACTGCTGTTAATGTTATTGTTGGAAATGTTGTAGCAATGATTGTTTGTAAGCATTATAGTTTGTTAATGCAGAATCCCAAGTTGGAAGTTGGAACCGTTGAAGCTAGGTTTGTTATGCATAACAATATAAAATTTGTACAGAATAAGAATCTGTCTAGTGAAAGTGTGCTGTATATGTATTATATACTTCTGCACAAGATATCAATAATAGCTTTTGAAATTCATGAAACAAAGATACTCTAATATGAACTTGTTCATTGCATCTGTTGATATCAATAGATATACATTGAATCTATTATTGGACATTTTTATGGATGATAGAAAATTCTATTATTTCACCTAACATGGTTGTTAAGTTGTATGAGAAATGATCCAAGAAATATGTCTAGGTTGTTTATATAGAAAAAATAGGATCCATCTCGCTTACTAATCTCACAAATATTTCTTACATCTCAAAGTTGTTCCAAAAGATCAAACCAAGCGCAAAACTATGGACTTCTCATATTACAAGATGATGTGACAAAACAGTTGTGATGCACATCGGACACGAAGAAAACAAAAGATGGTTGTGCTATATTCGTGTCTCGCACACACCACGACTATTCAATTTTTATTAACTACTTAGCATATGTAATCACCTACTTACGCCTATCTGTTCAAAAGATAGGATCCATCTCGTTTTACTAATCCATCTCACTGAACACTTGTTACAACTCAAAGTTGTTCCAGAGGATGAAGCCAAGGGGCAAAGTATGGACTACTCGTATTACCGGATGATGTGACCAAACAATTGTAAAAGTGCGTAGAGCATGAGGAAAGAAAAGGATGGTGGTGCTATATTCGTATCTCATACACACCGCAATCGTTTAATTTTTATCAACAGTTTGACAGATATAAACACGTGCTTACGTCTATCTTATCCTATCTTATTTAGTAGATTATGGGCCGAGCAAGCAAGTTTTGTTTAATTATGGGATTTGGGCCCGAACTCGAGTGGCTTGGGGGTCTTGAACGGAGATACAGTCTTAGAGTCCATTTGTTCAATTTAAAGAGACCCGAACTCGGCTGATGGAGCCCGCTCAGAGGGCGCCGCCAAGGCCCGACCTGTCTGTTGCTTTTCTACAGCCCAAGCCCGAAAGCCATGAAAGAATGTTTTGGCGAAAAAGCCTTTTTCATTCTAAGCCCAATAACAAAGAGTTGTTTCTTTATGGTTCTGAAGAGTAATTTTCCTCCAAAGAAACCGCAGCTCAGCTGGAAGCCGGAAGCCAGTTGTGTACTTTCCCGCCGCCGCTTTAATCCTCTCTCCGACGTCAAGGTCAGCCCTAATCCCCGACGAGCTCCACTCTCTTCTCTTCTATCTTGTATCCATTCCGTTGCTGCTTTCTTCACTTTGTTTCTGTTCCCATCTTTCCCCTTTCCTAGGGTAACATTTGTGCAATTAGAATGCAATAGAAACTCACTGGAAACTGATTTGCGTTCTTCGCGAGAAGACTAGGGTTTTTGAGTAAGCGGGGTTAATGCAATTTTTTGCTTCGCTTGTTTGAATTTGTCCCAAGTTTTCACTTGGAAGGTCTGCTTGAACCTAGATATGTTTCATTGGTGAATTGAGTTTCAATTCCCATCTGATGTGGAGTTAGTTGCTTAGTTTTCCTTTATTATACTCAGAAGCAGAGCTAGGCCGAGAAGGAAGTAGGTGGAAATGGCGTTTAGAGGGAGAGAAATGATGAATAAAGTGCTGAGGAAAGTAGGAGGCAAGGATTTGCCGACTGCAATCAAGGGAGCCCTGAAGAAAGCCATACCTGATCGAAAGGTGGTGATGGGCAGAGCTCAGCGCGGTCTGTTTGCTGGCAAACATATTCAATTCGGCAACCAGATCAGTGAAGATGGTGGAAATAAGTTCGTATTCTTTCTATCTTACTCCATATTGCTTCTGATCATCTTATGCTTGTGCATGTTTTTGGAATGTCTGTGTGTTTGCTTCTTCTTGCTTTAGTCCATGCAAATCACTGAAGAAATAAAGAATCTTGTTCGGCGTTGAAATGATTATGATCTTTGGTTTTCATTCTAGGATGAGTGTGATATACACACAGTGATGGTAATTGTGTGTATCTGATTCTGAACGGCTATTCATTTTGATATTGAAGTCATGTCAGCTTCAAACTATGCATTGTCCTTTTCTTTCTGGAAAAATATCCACCATAAGGATACATACAACACATTCAAATAAGGATAGCTCCAATTATGGCAGATGCATGAACTACATGGAATTTGTTTATACCAGAAGCACCAGAAACCTGAAGGTAAGGATATGACATGATTGACATAAAAACAGAATCGTGATAAGTATGAGCCAAGGACTTATGATTTTCTGTTCAAATCAACTAAAGTTAGGAGCTTTAGTCTAGTTCGATTTATGGTAGTTCAAGAGATTGACTTGATGATTTGCAATTGGAAAAGAGAATGGATTGTTGCATTGTAAAAGTTTCACCCCTCTGAAGTGTTCATTTGTGTGTGTGATGATGGTGACAGATCAAAGAGAAACTGGAAGCCGAATGTCCAAGAGAAGAGGCTATTCAGCTACATCCTCGACCGCCACATCCGAGTAAAGGTCACTACACATGCCATCCGTTGCATAGACAAGGCAGGAGGGATCGACGAGTATCTGCTCAAGACGCCGTATCAGAAGATGGACACGGAGATGGGACTCTTTTGGAAGGCCAAGATAGAGAAGAAGTACGAGGACCTCGGGAACTCGGACGTGGTCTTCTTCTCGCCCGAAGACGAGGAGAAGTTTGCACAGGGTTTCAGCGACATGAAGCTGTCTGAACGTGATGCTAGAAAGGAGTTCAGAAGGCAACTGTACTCCGAGTTTGCAAAGCAGAAGAAGGCCGCTGAAGGCAAAGCTCGCGTTAGTTACATACTGGCTACCTCGGATACAGCTCCTGGAAAGCTGATTGCTAACAGATGAAGGTAAGTGTCTTCCCCAGGTTGGTGATGGTGACTAGTGATGGATTTCCAAATGGATGGATTTGAGAAGTAGGTGGATTTGGGAAAATAAAATGAGTTTAGGGAACGACAGATTTTGGATTTCGATGAACTTTTGTGATGAATTGTACGAGGTGGATGATGTGTGAGCTCGGTATGAGTAGTTGGTGAATTTTGATGGATATTCAGGCTCCACCACCATGAACCAAGGATTGTGAAACCAGAGGTTATATCGGAAACGTCAATGATAGGGTATTTTGTATTAAAATTGTGGTTTAACTGTTTTTTGCTATTAATATCGCTTATTGTTTTGAGTCTGATATCCAATATTTCTGATGCTATCAGTCGGTACGGTAGAGTTTCTACGAACATGAGACCTTGACTCATCTGGTCTCCCCATTCGGCCTGCAAAAACGCGCTCCCCATTTGACTATTCGCAACTCCAAATAACAACATCCTTTTCATGATCGAAAACCAGGAAAGGAAAAGGAAGGGAGCGAATGGTCGTTCACAAGTAAACGATAGACAAAGGAAATGGAAGTAGACAAAGAAATAAGACATTATTATCAGTAAAACCAAACTGTACAATTGGTTGCTAATGGTCATCGTTTTGGCATTTTCTTTTTTTGGTTCGAGGGTACTGTTGGTACAAGAATTCAGGCAACTAGTGCTAGGATCGCTATCGAGCTGTGAATGAAGTCTCAAAATAAAAATTAAAACAATGTCAGGGGTCTTTCTTAGGATGGTAATTTCAATCCGACCCGTTTTACTCGATCTGCTTGGACTGTTTTGGGGTGGGTCACACCCTTCCCGTAGGCGGACGGGCATGGGTACCTCTCATCGACTCGACCTGTCCTGATCCGCCCCGTTATTGCCTAAATTACATGTAATCTTAGTCGAATTACTTAGGATTTTCCTCTTATCACCTCATATTTAATATTTTAGCTATAATAAAGTTGTAAATAAGTGAAAACCTCAATTTCTCCAATATTTTAACTACATTTTATCATATTATGGTTTCTTTTTTGGTCTTTTAATGAAAATTACAAATATTTCTAATATTTTTCACATAAATTACATACCCATTGGGTCGACCTGCCCCGACCCGCGCCCCATGATAAATTACCCGACCTGCCACAGGGCGGGTATGGGTATTGAGATACCCGCCCCATTGCCATTCCTGCACTCTTTCTGCACCTCAAGAAGAAACTTCTTGATTTGATGAGGCACCGGTTACCGTTAAACTGACTGTTTTCATCGATTGATAGGCGATAGTAATACTATCGCATATTACGATCTTCAATTTTTGTTGAATCAAATTGTTCTGATTTCATTTTGGATATGGTGCTTGATTCTCTTTCGTCTAGTGCGTTATTTGGTCAGCACATTGTTACGAAAATTGACGTGGTTATTTTAAGGTGAAATATTGCAAAAATATAAAGTAAAACAGAAAAAAATAAAAAAAATTTGACATCTCCGGACCTATCTCTGGAGAACCGCTGTCCAATAGTAAAAGAAATCTTAGAACCAAAGACAAGACCAACAATTTAATTTGGTTTGATCCGGTCCAAATGTCAATTCGATCCTTTTTTGTTCAGTATTTACTAAAACTCATTGGACTAAAGACCTAACCACATTATATTCGATTTGGTGTGATCTTGTCAAAGCATCAATTTGGTTCATTACAATCTAGTTCGGACCAACTCGTAACACACTCCTAAATACGAATACCATATCTCCTTAAATTGTGGATTCCCTGCTATCCCCTTTTATTTCACTTAAAATTGACAAACAAATAATGAATGATTCCACATTCCATCTGCCCTTGAAATGTAGGTCTATCCAATTTTTCCCTTATTAAATAATGGAATGTAGGTCCAATTTCATGGATCATCCAAACTGTCCATAAGATAACAAACAAATTGACATTATTGAAGATCGAAAACGTCATTGTGAAAAAAAAAAAAGAAGTTGTCAATGCAAATAAACAAGTGTGAAATGTTTAAACTATTTCCCCCAAGTAGCACATATGATATCTCACCACTTCTTCAGCAAACTGGAATCCTCATCCCAGTTTCTTTGCTTCAGGTCATCACTCAATCTCACTAATAATCGCTCTATCATTGACTATCGTCATTTTAAATTCTCGTTATAGATTGATTTTCATCTAACCATATGTAATTGTTCTCATTTGCGACGCAACATCACAATTTTTTGTTGATAGAATTACCACAAATAACTATTTCCTTTATCTCGTTTAAGGAATTGGTGAAGGTTATTAGTGAGGGGGGGAGGGAGATGGTCTGATGAGAAGCTCAGTCAATGGTTTGACCCGCCCATAGGGATGGCAATGGGGCGGGTTTGCCTAAACCATCCCCATCTCCATCTTCAAATACCCAAACCCATACCCGCCCCATACCCATGCGGAGAATGTTTTGCAAACCCATCCCCATACACGTGGGTTTCGGGTACCCATGGGTAATACCCATCCACGTACATCCAACATTATTATACCTAAAACTTACAAGAAAAGTTTTAATTATAACAATAAACAAACCTATTATACATGAAGTCAACAAAACCCGGTCATTTTCTAAATACGATTCAAAGAATATGATCCTAAAACATCTATTAATACATGATATAGACTACAATATTTTTTAAATTATTATGCTCTAACTCTTGATAATTTACTAAGTAATAATTAACTAACATAATCTTGTTGACAAGGGGGAAAGTGAAAGAGTGGAAGGAGAATTGAGGGAAATGAATTAGGTTTTGATTAAGGTGGTTACTCAATTGCATTTCTACTATTTATTTTCTCGAGTTATCATCATCATCATTGATAGATTACAATTTAATCCACATATTTTTTGATATGTGAAGAAATTCTCTTGGTGGGGCGGGTATGGGTATGGGTATAGGTATGGGGCGGGGGAGGCTAAAACCATACCCGCCCCATACCCATCAAACTTTTTGCGGGTTTTACCCATACCCGGTCAAAGCGGGGATTCCCCGCGTTTACTGGGTTGGGGATGGTCGGGTACCCGCGGCCATGGGTTTGATTGCCATCCCTACCCGCCCACATGTAAGGCTATTAAAGCGATTCCCCTTCCGCGTTGGGATGTGCCTGATAAGCTTATCTGGCATTTTACGGCCGACGGGGCCTTCTCGGTTAAGTCAGCTTATCATTTGGCTGTCGAGTTGGACAGGAGGAGGGGTGGGTGGCGATCCTCGATTAGCTGGATGGATATGCCGAGTTGGATTAAAGTTTGGGAGGCGAAGATCCCTCCGAAGTTGAAGGTTTTTGTGTGGCAAGTTCTAAATCGGGCTCTGCCGACATGGAGGTGCTTATTGAGAAAAAGGTCCAGATGCTACCTCGGTGTCCAGTTTGTTGGGATTGCTCGGAGTCAATGGAACATTTGTTCCTTTACTGTCCGGTTGCGCGAGCTCTCTGGGACTATTCTGGGTTGGAATACTTGAGGGAGGGTTTGCCTCGTCATACTTTTCCTTTGTTTCTCAAGCGTCTGTTGGGGTTGATCCATCAACCGTCAGTGGTTATGGTTGATGTTGCCGTCCTTTGAAGGATCTGGCGATCTCGGAATCGGGTAGTCTTTGAAGGCAAACAATTTGGGATCCCGACGCTCATGCGACAGTTTCACCAACAGTATGAGGAATGGGTGGGTCTACCAGCGGACCAGGTGCCTAGAGTACAAGTCCCGATAATGCAATCTTCAGCACAAGTGGGTGGTTCCCATTTGGTTTGCATGTGGGACAGGGCTACTAAGGATGGGTCTCATTCGGCTGGTGGGATGGTTCTTTTTGACCCAGCGCGGACACTCCTTCTAGCTAGAGGGGTCCAGTTTTTGTTAGAGAGTTAAAGCCCATGTATCTATATTTGTATACGTAGCCCATAGCCCATGTATCTTATACATAGATGTAGGCCTTTTTCTTCTCTTCTTGTAACCGACCCATGAAGTCCATGCAACTAGGGCGTGGGAGCTAGGGTTTGGTGCTGGTTGTTAGGGGTATATATATGTTGCTAGAGCTTAGGTTGAGGTACGCAGACAATTATCATAATCACATCAGTAGCCGAAGAGTTTATACTCTTCCGTGGATTAGTCCTGGATACTCCAGGGATACCACGTAAATCCGGTTGTTCGTGTTCTCTCGATTTCGTTATTTCCTATTGATTATCATGGTATCAGAGCCTCACGCAATGGATTCTGATCGCCCATCTGTTCGTTTGACATCAACCAATTTTGCTCTCTGGGAGTTTCAGTTCAAGGTGTTCATCGAAGGCAAAGGGTACCTGGGAATTCTCGATGGAACACTTCCATCCGGCAGCCACATCTCCGGCAAAGGAGATTTCTGACTGGAAACAGAGCGACGCCCGCGTCCGCTCCTGGCTCTTGGGGTTTGTCGACTCCTCCACGTGTTTGAGTCTTCGGCTTTTTCCCTCCGCCAATCAGATGTGGTGCCACCTGACCGCCACTTATTCCACAGTAAATCCGGCCCGACAATTCGAGATTCAGCTCTCCCTGGCTCGACTGGAACAGGGAGACCGTTCTATCACTAAGTACTTCAACCTGGCTCAAGAACTTTGGACGGAACAAGACATTGTGACTGCCGCGCTTCGTCCACAACCTGCCTCAGCTGATGACATTCTCGAACGACAGCAGACTCGGCTACTAAATTTTTTGATGCGACTAAGGCCTGAATTTGAGGCTGTTCGCTCCACTCTTCTGAACAAAGATGATCTCAAGTTCGATGGTGTCATTCCTCTCCTCGTCCGGGAAGAAACTCGGCTTCGTACGCAAGCTCAACTTGATGTACGTCCTAATGAGAGCGAGACAGTCTTTGCTGCTGCTTCCCAAGACCCGGCGGCCTTTGCTGTTCAGCGCTCGCAATTCCAAAGTCGAGGTATACCCACTGACATCGAGTGCCATTTTTTTCATGAGAAGGGGCATCCTAAAAAACATTGCCGCCAATGGAATGTATGTGTGTACTGCAAGCGCTCGGGACATATCATATTGGACTGCCGAACACGACAGCGTAATGATGCGTGCACAGCTGCTGGTGGGAATGGTGCTGGGGGAGGCCGTGGTGCTTCCTTTCCCGATCGTTACACGCGGGACTATGGAACCCGCCAGGAGCATCAGTCTTCGTGAGCAGCCTGGCGTCCCGCCACTGATCGAACAACTCACTCCGCTGTCTTTCCCGGTGCCGGCAACAACAGCGGTGGTAGCAATATCACTGCCGCCACAGTCGAGCAGCTTGTTAATGCTGCCCTTCAGAAGTCCCTGCCCACCGCGATAAG